GACTCCCATGACTGGGACACAACAAACATACACACACAAACATACATTCACAGATACGTGCAACTACGCAGGCACTTAACACCTGCGTACGGACAGACACTCAGACACATGGACACACAGGTATCAGGTATCCAAAGACATAATACAATAGACACTCATGCTGTCGTGCATAAAAATGGACACATAGACACACGGACACACACTAACACTAACATTCGTACGAAGTCACACTCTGGTCACCACATCCTCCTTTCTTCACCACACTCCTCACACTTTGAGGGATGAGGACATGGAGACCATCACAGCAGACACAGCCGATAGGCCCACAGCCTTGGTTGGGAAAAACGGTTGTGGTCACCATTCGTTATGGGATAGAAGGGAAGGTCTCTAGCTGCACCTTCAGGGTACCCAGATGTTGGGAAACCCAGGGTCCTATAGCTCTTCTTGTCACTTGGGAGCCCCTGGACTCTGATTCAGGAGAGGCCGGAGGACTGCTCAGCTACTCATGAGGATTTGGGAGTAAGAACATTCAACCATTCATTCATTCCATTAGATATGAATTGGGTGTCTTCTCTATGCCAGGCCCCCCAGGAAGTTCTAGACAATGCCTGAAGCTTGGCCAGCTGACTTGACAGCAAGTAACTTCTTTACCACCCCAGGTGTTGAGCTCTGGACCCTGGCACAGCCAGGCCTTTCTGGCATTCTCTCTCCTTATCTGCTGTTGCACGGATGGGAGTAATTTGGTCAAGTCACTTGCCACTCCTCCACAGCCTCCAAGCCTGGATTCTGGGTTCAGTCCCTAGGCCCAGAAACTCTTCTCTCTCAGCACTTTGCTCCCTTGATGATTGCAGTTCTCATGCTTTAAATGCCATCCACATATTGACAACTCACCAACTCATTTCTCCAACCAGGGCCTTTCCTGTGAACTCTAGTTCCTGACTGAGTGTTCCTGTCTCTCCCAGCAAGTCCATGGGCAATTCCAGCATCATGGGGTTGATACTGACCTTCAGGTTTTCTTTCAACCCCAACCTGCTCCTCCCAAGGCCACAAACCTTGGAGTCATCCTGGCTCCTTTCCTTTCTCTTCAAATTCACATGCAAATACAAATCTTCAGAAAATACTTTCCTTTGAAATATATTCAAGACCTGAACCCTTCCCACTCTCTCTACTCTTCCCACCTGGGTCCCAGCTGTTAATCATGTCTTGTCTGAACTACTGCAACAAGTTCCTAATGGTTCTGCCTGCTTCTGCCCTTGTTCTTTTTCAGTCTATTACCAACATAGTAAGGGGCTCTGGTAGCGTAGAGGTTATGAGTCAGGCTGCTAATCTCAAGGTCAGCAGTTTAAAACTATCAGCCTTTCCATTGGAGAAAAATGAGGCTCTCTGCTCCCATAAAGATTTACAGCCTCGGAAACCCTGTACAGGGTCATGGTGAGTTGAAATTGACTCCACGGCACACCCCCACCACCATCACCATAGTAACCAGAGGGGCTTGTGAAAAGATGGGATGGTATGTGTCTTCTGCTCAGACCTTTTGATAACTTTGATCATAATCAGAGCAAACACCCAAGTCCTCACTTTCTTGATCCCAGGGCATCCCCAGGGCCTCTTTGCATTCACTTTTCCTCTGACAGTCTTTGCTTACTCTACTCTTGCCTTACTGGCTTCTTCTGTCCTGTTCCTTAGTCCACTCCAGCCTCAGGGCCTTTGCATGTGCTATTCCCTTTGCTTGGACCTTTCTTCCTCCAGCCATCCAGTTAGCTCAGTCTCATACCTCCTCAGGTTTTTGCTCAGACTTCTCAGAGACCCCCTACCCCACCCCCACTCTAGCATTTCCTGTTCCCTTGTCCTGATTTATTTTCTCTACTCCACTTACTGGCGTTCTGGTTTGGTGCTGTAGAATAAGCACTGGACTGCTAACTTCAAGGTTGGCGGTTCAAACCCACTACTCACTCCTCGGAAACCCCATACACATTCGCTGTGAGTTGTAATCAACTCAGCGACATTTAACAATACCACGGATCACAGGTTAATGTACTATGTTGTTAAGTGCCTTGGAGTTGGTTCTGACTCATAGCCATCCTGTATGGGGTTTTTAAGGAACAGCTGGTGGGTTTGAACTGCTGACTTTGTGGTTAGCAGTCCCATGCTTATTCTACAGTGTCACAACTTATTAATTTCATTCATTGTAGATTGCAAGTGCCATGAGGGAAATATCTTTGCTTTGTCTGCTCTGTGTCCTCAGTTCCTTGAAGAGGTCTGGCATACAGTGGTGGTGAAGTACCATTGACCCTGTATAGGGTTTCTGAGGAGTGGCTGGTGAGTTTGAACAGCTAATCTTGTGGTTCAAACTGATCTTGCCGTCCATCACTTACTCTACAGTGCCTGGCATATAGTAGGCACTCTATTAAGATTTGTGCAATGTATGAATGACTCACATTTACAAAGGAAGAAAGAAGCCACATTTGCTTTTTGTGACTTCTTTGGTGGTTCAATGCACATTCCTGGTATAGCTTGCCTTGGCCCAGTGGTACCACGGAGTCGACGCTGGCTCGTGGTACCCGCATGTGAGTCAGAGTAGAACTGTGCTCCCGTGGGTTTTCAGTGGCTGGTTTTTCTTAAGTACATTACCAGGCCTTTCTTCCAAGGTGTCCTTGGATGGACTCAAGCCTCCAACCTTTTGGTTAGCAGTTGAGTGTGTCAACTGTTAGCACCACCCAGGGACTCCGTGGTTCTGTCTGGTCCTTCATGATACGAGTATAATGACCACCCTGGAGGTCAGCAATGGTGGGGACAGGGGACAGGCTGGGCCTCACCCAGCTCACGCCTCTGCTTTCCTGGGAAGGAACAATCAGGGACCATTTGGGAATAGGCCACGGGACCAACTTCCCTAGCAGATGCTTCGTCTTAGGCTCTGACTCTCCAGCCTGCCTCTTCCATTTCTTTTTGCTCCCATTCCAAACCCTCAAGCCAGATTCTCTGTCCAGAATCACAAAGTCTGACATCTTTGGGGGCTGGGAAATATCCCATTGTGAATATCACTTCCTCTGAGGACACCTCCCAAGAGTACCTTCTCTAACAACAGTGGCCCACGTTACTCCCACCCTCTCTTACCCTGAAACTCTTCCACTGAGCCACCCAGCTCTCATCCTGGGCCCATAGCATCTCCTTTATTCTCACAAGCATAATACCTGGTAAATTTTGATTTCTTAATTTTTAGACTGAGGGGTTAGGGTTAGAGAGGAGAACAGACAAGCACAAGTCATACCAGAGGCTGAGCTAGTATAAGGTCAGCACTTCAAATCTACCAGTGGCTTTGTGGGAGGAAGATGTGGTTTCTGGTCCTGTAAAGATTCACAGCCTCGGAAACTAGAATCAGGCTAGCTATGAGTCGGAACCGACTGGATGGCACAGAACCACCACCATATTCTAGGAGCTGTGCTAAACATAATAGTTTAATGGGAAGACATTCTTGCTCCAAGGAGCTTCCTGTACTTCATCATTGCTTTGCTCTACTGACAGAATTATGTCCATAAGCATGGCTCCATTCTTCCTCTCTCAATATCCAATCTCCCTTCTGCTGTGCTGCATCTCCCAGGATGAGCTGGGGCTCCACAACTGAGCTCCCCTTAGCCTATAGTTCCCTTATCTATCTTAGTCTCCCCAGCATTAAGCATAGGCTCTGACACATAGAAGACGTTCAATTCACACTCACGACACTGCCAGCTCTTGAAGCCTTTAAGAACAGCCTTATCAAGTGCCCAGACACGGTAGCAGGTAGTGACAACCAAATCGCCCTTCAGGAATTCCATTTAAGAGCAGCGTCTTGAGGGAATTCATACAAGGGAAGGATGAACACTGTAAGATATTTTCCCCCTTTCAAAGGATCTAGAAATTGCTGTGTGTTCTCTTTCTCTCTGGGCTGTCTGGCTGACTTCACAGCAAGAGTTTCCAACCACATTCAGATTCCAGACCAACCTAAGAACTGAAATTGACATGGGGAGTAATTATTCAAAGAGGCAGGGGAGAGCCATAAAACCAAATGCCTCCTACATTTTTCATAAACGTGATCTGAAGGTGAACTAACCACACTCTGCAGAGGGAATGAGGGTGGGGAGAGGAAAGCTTGGGTTGCCCTCCCATGGCCCAGAAGGGTACCTGAGGGCAGAATGGGGGTGTTGCTGGGAGGAGAACAAACCTCCCTGGAAAGAGCACCTGAGAACCTTGAAGGGGAGCCTTCAACAACTCCTGTTCCGAAGCGCTGCTAGTCCAGGCTTCAAGGACCCTCAGCCTCTCTCCTGAAAATCCCTTTCTCAGGGAACAGGTTGCCTTGTTAGTTTTTGTTGGTCCTCCAGACTTTTCCTTTGGGTCTCTGAACGCTTTCTCTTGATAATAATATGTCTCAGGTGGGTTTAAGGTGGCAGCTGTTACACCAGGATTTAACTTCGACTTGACTTGTGAGGGAAGGAAAAAAACCAAAACCAAACCCAAAATTCCTTTTTCTTTTTCCTATTAGAAGAAGTGGCAATCTGGGTTTCTTCATCCAATTTATTTAAGAAATAGTTATTAAGTGTTCATTATGTGCCAAGCACTGGGCTGGGGATACAATGATGAGCAAGGCAGGGGCAGAGAGTCCATGCCGTAGGAGAGATGACAGAATGACCAGGGAACGGCTGGGCAAACAGACAAGGACCCCCACAGTCAGATGCAGGTGTTGTGCCCTGGGAGCCCAGGCAAGGGACAAGGAGGACTTCCTAGACGAGGTGATGTTTTACTTGAGACTGGAGGACTCAAGTGAGTTTGCCGGATAAAGACGGGAGGGAAGAGTGTTGTAGGCAGAAGGAACAGCATGAAGAAAGTTTGGCCCCCAGAAAGGAGGGAAGCAGGGAGGCTTCACTTTTGCCTGCTCCCTGTGTTCTAGGGACTGGTCTGGGGCTCTCTGAAGGAGAGAAGGGCAGGACCTCCCACTGTGCAGGCGACCCCACATTGTGTGTACTCACGGAGGAAGTATTCAGCCGTGTCAGCTTCGTAATCTGCGTCCTCTGGGAAATGATCGATTTGCTTGCACAGACCTTTGAAGTTCCCTGCAAAACAAGGGGAGAAGAGCATGTGAGATACAGCGCTGCCGGGGGCTCGGCGCCCACCTGCCCGGCCTGACTTCTCGCTCCTCTGAAGCTCTCGGCAATCCTCTTCCCCCGCTCTCGAAGGAAGGCAGCGCTTTGTCGGTTTGGACATCTGCCTGGTAAATCAAAACACACACACCCGCGGCGCAGACGAGAAGATCTAAGGTCTCAGACTTCAAAACCCTGCCTTCTGTCCCCGAACGGAGGCTTTTGAGGATCAGCGAAAAGCTCGGCGAACCGCGGAGGTTGGATTCTGGCTGGGGACCGCCACTGAGGAGGCTGATGAACATGGCCGTGGCAGCGCAACCCGTATGCATCGTCTCGGTGCCCCAGGACCCGTTGGGAGTCACCCCGAATTTTGTATGTGAGAAAGCAGATGATCATTTTCTAGAGGAGGCAGATCTCAGACGGATGCTGACAAAAACATTCCCAAGAGCTTTGAAAGCACTTTTTCTCCATCTCCAATTGCATGGAATTCACCATCCCCCAACAGCTCTGAAATAGCCCCAGGATTGAGCCCCCGCTGGGTGCTGGGCACGCTGCCAGGCTCTTGAAGAACTTTAGTTCACTTAGCTTCCTCACAGGCCTTGTGTGTTTGTGTGGGTCCTGTAATCTTACAGAAGCTGGGGCTCGCTGATCTGAATAAGGGCTGGAGGCTAGGGAAGTGATGGAACTGGGACTCAGTGGCAGATCTTTTGACTTTAAAGATTTGTGCTATGATTGCAGCAAGGAGGAGAAGCAACACAGATAAAACTCCCATCACAATGCCACAGCGGGTACCCACCAACATGCACTGAGCCAATGAATGAACTATTGCAGACAGCGTTCATAAAAGCTGATGACTGGAATCGAATTGACAATCACCAGAGTATCAGCTTCATGACAGCAGAAACTTGTCTATTTTATATTCATCATTGTATCCTCAGCACCAGTGTAAACACAAGCAATGTTTACGTTCTCGGAATGAATTAATAATGTGCTGGGAAGTATGACAGAGGGGATAAGAGGCAGGCTCTGTCACCAGACCGGCAGGGTCCATTGAGTTCCTTCAGTTTCCCATCTGAAAGTGGCGATCATCAGAATTCTTACCTCTGAGCTTGCTGTGGGGTTCAAATCAGTGCCCCGGACATTAATTAATCCTTGGGGACATTCATGTGAGAGAGAGAAATGAACTTCAACTGTTCAGCCACTGGGCGTTTGGGTGTCTCCATGGCTGTACTGTTAGGAGTTGCTGTGGTACTGCAGGATAATGCACTGGACAGGACAGCAAGGTCAGGCTGAATGGCAAGGTCAGTAGTTCAAACCCACTGGCCGCTCTTAGGGAACCCTATACAAGGTTGCTATAGGCCAGAACCGACTCGATGGCACTTAGAAGCAACAAGAGGGTTGAAAAGGAGTTCTAGTTTCATGCTAACTGAGTTCTGTGCTGCTAACCTTTGGAGTCTTGGTGTGGTGCTGTGGGTTAATGCGCTCAACTGCAAAGTTGGTTTAACCCAAAAGGTCAGCGGTTCAAGCTCACCAGCTGCTCCTTGGGAACCCTATACAGGGTCACTATGGTTTGTAATTGACTCGATGGTACTTAGAAACAACAACAACACAGTTGATATACATGGTTACCACCTCAAAGGTTGTAGGCTCAACTTCACCCAGAGGAGACTTGGAAGAAAGACCTGGAGACCTAATTCCAAAACACCAGCCACTGAGAACCCTATGGCGCAGCACAGCTCTGTTCTGATACCCACGAAGTTGCTATGAGTCAGCATAAACTTGACAACACCTAGGCGAACTCCTTGTTGTTGTTAAGTGTCGAAGAGTGAGTTCCGACTCATAGTGACCCTGTACACGGTTTCCGAGGAGCACCTTACGGATTTGAACCTCTGACCAAGTGGTTAGCAGTCTAGTGCTAAGCTAACATTACCTAATAAACACAGGCCTCAATAAAGAGCTCTGGCTGTGTAGTGGGTTACAGAAAAGTTGGCAGTTCAAATCTACCAATTGCTTCATAGGAGAAAGATGAGGCTTTTTGTTCCCGTAAAGATTTACAGCTTAGAAAATTCTATAAAGGATCACTATGAGTCAGAACTCACTTTGCAACATATAACTATCACCACCAATAGAAAGAAAGCCATTTACCCTCTTACAGAGTCCTGAGACTCCTATCCCATAATGTACGGGTGAGTGTAACACTGTGGATGAATGCGCTGGACTGCAAAGTCAGTTTGAATCATAAGGTTGGCAGTTCAAGCTCACCAGTCGCTCTTGGGAAACTCTATACAGGGTCAGTATGGGTCAGAATTGATGTGACAGCACTTAACAACAACAAACAATGATAGATTTTATTTGAACTATTCTTCATTTGAATTACGGTGTTGGTGAAGACTATTCCGTAAGACTATGGACTGCTAAAACAATGAACAAATCTGTCTTAGAAGAAGTGTAACCAGAATACTCCTTAGAAGTGAGGATAGGGAGACTGTCTCTCATATTCTGGACATATTGTCAGGAGGGACTAGTCCCTGGAGAAGGCTATCATGCTTGGTAAAGTGGAGGGTCAGTGAAAAAAGAGGAAGACCCCCAGTGAGATGGATTGACACAGAGGCAGGAGCAGTGGGTACAAACATGACAACAGTTGTGAGGAGGGCACATGAATGGACAGTGTTTCGGTCTGTTGTACACTGGACTTCTATGAGTCAGTACTGAATTGACAGTATCTAACAACAACAACAACAACAACAACAATTTATTTAGGAATCTTGAGGCATTATTAAGTAGACCTGATGCTAATGCATCAGACTGCAAAATCATTTGAACTGCAAGGTTGGTGGTTCAAGCTCACCAGTTGCTCCTTGGAAACCCTACACAGGTTGCTATGGGTTGGAATGGACTCAATGGCACTTAACAACAACAACAACATATATGATATATATACCTAAATATGTAGTATGTTGTTGTTAGGTGTCATCGAGTCGGTACCGACTCATAGCGACCCTATGTACAGCAGAACAAAACACTGCCCGATCCTGGGCCAACCTCACTACTGTTGCCACACTTGAGTTCATCAATGCTGCCAGTTGGCCAATCCA